TACAAACAGTAAATGATTTTTTAAATTTTTTTTATAATCGTCTCATTTATAAACTAGTCCTGGGTATGATGATAAACTACATCCAGCAGGAAGGCTTCTGATCAGGAGATTGGAGTTTTTGAGGAGCATGGAACCACCTCTTAATTGCTGTTGTTCCCAGGTCCACTCTAACCTGAAGTGGTAGCACCTGTCAGGGTCCACGCTACGGGCAAACAGTGAAAACCCAAACAAAAATCAAAACACTAGGAAAGTTAAAAATACATTTTTATAGTACAAATACCAGCAATACATTTTTTTTTTAAATTACTAACAATGCATTCAGTTACATGCCATGCGTGATATATGCTTAGGTGATCATGTATCTTTTGATACATGACTGATGAGGCAGATTTTTTTCCTGCAGTAGGTTGCCATTTCTTTCTGCGATAGACCAGTTGCCATCCAGGGCTATAGAATCCAGTCTGTCCTGCTATTTACTCATAGCTTGTGAAGAAGAGGATTCATACCTTTCCCAAGGGTATTAGCATGTTAGTGAATGTAATGGATTCGACTGGAATTTGAACTCAGCTCTCTGATTCCCCAATCCGAGCCACTATCCATTACTGGACATGTTGATATCTCGCTAAACAAAATCAACCTACAAAATTTTTTATAAACAACTGTATGCAATCTTTAGCAACAGCAACAGGAAGAAAAACATAAAATAAAACAAAAAATACTTACTGAATAGGTTATTTTATAATGTATTCAAGACTCCAATCAATTCTAATAGTTTGATTACATTGAAATATCTTGCATTTCTCTTCATTAAATGCAAGCATAAAATATGAAACAATTTTAGTACTAATTCTTTTACAGAATTAAGCAACCTGAGTCGTGTTTGAAATACCAAATTTAAAAAAAAATAAAATAACCTGTGTATTTGTGTTTAAATTAAAAATTTATATATAAATTTATAAATATTTTCAAAAGATTAGCCGGCTTAAATAAAAAATTATAAAACAGATGTAATCTGGAAATCTGATCAACCAGACAACTTCAAATGGAGATTTTTTTGAGCCACTGTAGAGGCAATATTAATGTTTGGTGCCTGGACATTTGCTAAAATTCTACAGACTAAACTTGATGGAACCTATACCCAGATGCTGAGAGCTATACTTAATATCTCTTAGAGACAACATCCAATTAAAACACAGCTCTCTGGACCTATCCCTGATATTTTTACAATCTTACATGAATGAAGAATGTGCTTTTCAGGGCACTGCTGGCAAGCAAAACAACAGTTTGCAAGTGATCTACCTAGCCATGGAGAAAGATGGGGTGGTCATCCAGCAACCGCCTATGTTGACCAGCTACGTCATGCGACCCTTCCAACCTTGATGCAGGACTGTGATGGTTGGTGTAATTGATTCATGAATATCCAAGCTAGCTTGACCGAATAATCAAAATAATTTGAGAAAATCCAATTAAATCACAGCTCTATGGATCTATCTCTGATATTTCTACAATCTTACATGAACGTAGAATGCACTTTGCAGGACACTGCTAGCAAGCAAAACAAGAGCTTGTAAGTGATCTACCTAGCCATGGAGCAAGACGGGTTGGTTACCCAGCAACCACCTATGTTGATCAGCTACGTTATGCTACCCTAATCATCTTCCAAACTTGATGCAGGACTGTGATTGTTGGTGATTGTGATTGTTTGATTCATGAATGTCTAAGCTAGCTTGACCAAATAATCAAAATAATTTGAGAACTTTCATTACCACTTATACAAATAACTTTATCACTTACATCAATGAAAGAATTTAAAACTCACAGGATACATTGAATGAAAAGAATCAAAGGAAAGCAATGGGCCATCTACTTAATAAGTTTGAATGAATGGATTGCAAAAGACAATAAGTGATAAAAAAATGACTTAGAACAACAAGTGATTGAAAGTTGTGGAGAGCCATGACCATGCATTGCCTGTATGTATATTGCACATAAAAGAAAAATATTTTCTGGGTTTTACTGAAAAGAGTCTTTTTTATATCTGTAGCTTAAATAAGTCTATTGCTGCAACATCACTTGTACAAATCACAATATCGCTGGTTCAATTCACCGTCCTCGCTTTCTTCACATGTTACTATGTATAGCCAACGTTTCTGTCCCCTTTTTCACGGCCCCAGCACTCTTTTATCAGGCCAACACTGCGGTTCCCCAGCCAATCAGCGTTCTTCGCTGTTATTCTCAGTTACACAGGCAAATTGCCTCCTCCAGTTCGACCAATCAGCACACGACTTGCTATTGGTGGAAGCATTCCAAACTGTACAAAAAACCCTCATCATTGCACATACTGCTAGAATGGCTGGACAGGAGAGTAATGCCATTTTCACGAAGCAAACTTGCTGATGTCATGTGCTGCACATTAAGGTAAGACCCTTATTTTCTTATACACCAGATGCAAGACACTCTGGCTCGCTTGCTTCTACAGGGCTGTTCACCACAATATCCTATGCCCCTTGGATGATCAAAGCTCTCTACAAGCTTGTAACATTTCATTAACACTGAGCAGCTTCTTGCTTCAAATGTCTACTGTGGCTCAAGTTTAACCCATTGAAACTCATACATACAATCTATCACTAAAGATTCTGGTAAAACAGTCATTTCATTGAACCATTCCAGAAAGTACCTGACACTACAGTAATGGCAATATTAACCATTTCTCTATAAGGAAACATTTTGGGCATTCATTGACCAAACAGCCATTACTGTTTTCAGTTGAAATTTATAAGATCTTTCTTTTAAAACACTTTTTTGTAGAAAAACTGGTTTCTCAAGTCCAGTAGTTTTTATCACTCTTTCCAGTATTGATGGGGCTTTCCTTCTGAACCTTCTTTTTGATGTGGTGTGGATTATTAACATCTTGATTATGTCATTACTTCCTCTTCACGTTACATCCATTTTAATTCTTGCTGTTGTTGGTCATCCTTGAGTGTGGTTTCTGTTATTTGGTACAGGTCTTTGTATTTCTGTAGCACCAGTTCACCATGTTCAAAGAGGGATAATCTTTCTCAAGACCTCACTCAAATCTTTTTCACCCTTGATCTTAGAAAGTGGTTGTATACAGCTGAGAATTTAGATATTTCTGAATGGGTTAAGCACCATGCATAACATCCATATGAAAGTCTCGATCTGATAAGACTATTTATGAACATGACTTGGGCTTTACAAGAGCCAGATCAGACAAAAACCGAATTATTGCTGCCATATCTTGGCTGGAGGTGCCTAGTTCTTGTTTTCCAACGTTGATGGATTTTGAAAGCATCTACACTGCCTTGTGGTTGATGAATTATTTTTACCTCTGCAACCCTTCCCCACAGATGAAAAATCACAAGCTTTTGGCATCAATTTACTCAGACTTGTTAACTATGTTATTCATGGTTCCCTCCTGTTTCCCTTGACATCAGTATGCCTTCTGGGTGTTAATGTCGCCAAGTCTTCTTTATTTATTATGTATCTATAAAATCTTAGATGTCTCTTTTCAATTATCAGTAGCACTTTTTTGTAGTTCTTGTTCCTCTTAAAACTTCCTTGTTGCTCATTTACTGGCCATGTTATTCTCAGCTTTCTTTTGGTAGAAACACATCTCTTCTCTCTCTTCCTTTCTTTTCTTTCTTTTGTTTTAGAAGTTTTGTTTCTTCTCTCTCTCTTTCTTTCTTTAAAGATGCATTCGTCTCATCTCCTGTTTCTCTCTCTCTATCTTTTTAAATGTCTATATTTGTTTCTATTCTTCTTCTTTCTTTCCAGAAGGTGTAGCTTATCTTCTCTCTATCTCTCTTTGTCTTCTTTCTTGAAGTCTAGGTTCCTCTCTTCTTTCTTTCTTTCTTTCTGGAAGGCTGGGGTCATCTCATCGCCTCTCCTCTCTCTCTCCCTCTCCTTTCTTTCTTTCTTTCTGGAAGGCTGGGCTCACCTCATCGCCTCTCCTCTCTCTCATTCTCCCTTTTTTCTTTCTATTCTGGAAGCCTGGGCTTATCTCACCTCTCTTATCTCTCTCATTCTCCTTTCTTTCTTTCTAAAGATTTGGGTTCCACACTCTCTTTCTCTTTCTAGGTTCCACATCTTTATATCTTCAAGTCTTTTCTTTATCTGTAAGCAAACTGTTCAACATTCACTACCGTATAGATGATTAGCTATGAAATAGCAGTTAAGGGCTTATTTTTTTCTGTAAAAACATTTTCCAGTCCCTAAATTCTTTGCTCAGTCATTTATTACTACACTACCCATTTGCTTGATTTTGATATCCCCAATATGTAGTTCACATATAGGGTTGTCCCTTTTGCTGACAGCAATGAATTCTTTCTATTTTCTTAGTCAAAGTTTTTTTTCTTTCTTCTTGCTCTTTTCGTTTTGAAAATAATTCCTTCAGTTTTTTTTCTGAATCTACCAGCAACATAATGTCATCTGCATCGCGTATGTTGTTAAAGTTATCCACTCATAAATCCTGGTTAGTCTGCTAGTGCTCTTAGAATCCTCTCATTTTATGGGTTAAATAAATCCGGAGAGAAAACACCTGTGTTGTACTTCTGTTTTTATTGTTGTGTAGTCACTAAACTCGTTCCCTATCTGCATGCATGCAGTGAATATTAAATATAACCTATAAATGTAGCACTCTCTTCTAAACTCTCTCTCTCTCTCTCAGCGCTATATTTGTTTTTACGCAAATAGTATTTGTAACAGTGGCATAATCTCTTTCTTTGATTTCACCATAATTTTTTAGTTGCTTTAAAAATATTTGTTTATCCTGCCAATATGTTATATTTAGCTGAGCTGACAGTTTTTACTTTTTCTGATACATTTGTTTATGGTTATAGGGCTTATTCACACCATAGCTATTATCAAGAAAGAAGGAGTGAGAAAAGAGAGAAAGGATGAGAAGAGCCCAACCTTCTAGAAAGAAAGAAGAGGTGATGAAATAAGCCAAGCTTCCAGAAAGAAAGAGAGGAACCTAGACT